CACCAACGGACTCACTTTCCCAAGAATCCCTTCTGCAAGATTTGCAACATCGCTAAGAACACCTCAATGCGTGTCGCCAGGAAACCAGGGGGGCGGAGTGACGATCTTCTCGACGCACCCACCGCTCCCTACCAGCAGCTCGCTACTGATAGCGTGATCTTGGCGAAAGGCGATGAACATGTTGGCATCGGCATAGGCGGAATAAAATCCCACCATGTCATCAGGGATTTGTTTTCCGGCGCAAGGGTCGCATACCCGGTCTCTAAGAGAGACATTCCGTCGCACGCAAGGAACCTCAGGCATTTCATTGGCCTCAGAGCCAACGAACTCGCTCCACACTGTCTCATAAAAATGGATGAAGCTGGAGAGTTGCAGGGAGCGGCCGAGGAAGTAGGGATGATCCCCGAAACTTCGTTGCCGAATCGCTGGCCCCACAACTCCGAGCTCGAGCGAGATGTCCGAGAGGAGAAAGAGTGTTGCAGGAGCATACACCATCAATCGGGTTTGCCCTACTCTCTGCACACGCACTCCTATCCCTTTGCATGCCTCTCGATGTCCTTCGACCGACCGTCCACATTCGATCCGACAAAGACGCAATGGGAAGCACTCACCAAGGAGAAGTTCGACGGCGTCCGCTGTTGCTTCGGACAGCTCGTTTGGTATCGTCTAAAGTCAGCTGGAAAGAGAACCCTAGAACCCAACATGGCTCCAGGCTTGTTTATGGGTTGGCGTATCGATCCAGGGATGCGATATCGAAGGGTGCTAAAAGTTATGGACTACCAAAGTTTCAGGACCAATGGAAATGTTACTGTCCATGACGTGCCCGAACCTGAGTTGTTCGTCGAGGAAGGCGATCCTGTTTTCCCCATCGCGGCCGCTGCCGATCGAGCCCTGCGAACAGGCGATGGCGAGGTTCCTGAATATGCCATCAGAGATGTTCCGTTCATTCCTGAAGGCATCCCTGCCCCGTCAACACCGTTAGGCTTTAAGTCACGAAGTGTGTACATCACCATTGAACGGATCATAAAGTTCAAGGAGACGCCTGGGTGCAAGGCCTGCACCGGCCATGCTAGTTCCAGGCATCACACTGACGAATGCCGCAAAAGGTTTGCAGAGCTAGTTGAAAGTGAAAAGGAAGAAGCAAAGGCCAAAAAGGCAGCAAGTGAGGAGGCCACCAAACCAAGTAAGGGTGCAGATGAGGCAGCTGCTATACGCGCTGCAAAGGCGTCCTCCCTAGAACCCCCAGAAGCCCCAGAGATCGAGGCGCCTGAGGAGGGAGACCCCGACATCGTCCGTGCCTTGCTTGGAGAGCCCGCCTCTTCTCGGCCCAGTGTTCCGCATACCGACGCTGTCCCCGCATCAACCAGGAAGGATGAATGGGTTTATAAGCCTAGTGGTAACGTGTTAATCCGCGTGCATCATCAGCCTAGGATTAAACTTTTCACTCCCAAGGATGTCGGCGATTGTCCCGTGTCAGTGTGCAGAATCACACCCGGTAGGACCACTCGCGTTGTGTCCCGGCAAGATGGTAGCAAGGAAGATATCAGTGATGGTTGGGCAGGCAGATTCTCAGCACATCGAGAACTCCCTGTGTTCTGGACTGGCATAACCATTTTTAGGTTATATAGTGATTCCGAGCATTCGGCTGCAGCTTTAAGCGCAGCAGGGGGGCTCAGTCCTCACGAGGGTAACATCCCAGTCAGCTCAGGAGCAGCCGTCACCGTGTCAACCGCGTCCAGCACAACACTTGCTGAGACCACGAAAGAGAAGCCATCCGTTTTCGGTAACCCTTGTCAGCTTCAGGGGGGCGATGAACGCCCTCCGTTTACCGTTGGCAACAAACGTGCTCGCAAGCGCCTAGCGCGCGATGCTGTTGGCCCGATGTTTGAATTTGCTTGTTCACCTAATTCCTCAATGGGTAATGTGTTCAAGGATCTCGACATCCCACATGTCCGATTAGCAAAGGAGTACATTGACTTAGAGTCAGCCGTTGCGGATGAGCAGCTCGCTTATCAACTCTCGCAGTGCGTCCGACCCAACTTGTGGGCAGCCATTCCATGTGTCTCAGGATCACCTTGGCAGAGGCTGAACCTCCACAGGTTAGGAAAGCCGTTTAAGAAGAAGTTAGAGGAAAAAGTCAAGCAATCCAAAGTGATGTTTTCAAAGTTTGCATTGCACGCCGAGCATGTTTTGAAGGCCGGCGGATCAGTCACCTTCGAGTGGCCACGCGACTGCGAGGGATGGCAAAGGCCAGATGTAGCCGAGTTCTTCGAACGCCACAAGGACGTGTTCCATGGTGTTTCGTTCCACGGCTGTGCTGTCGGCTTGACGGATGAAAATGGTTCACCCATCAAGAAGCCTTGGCACATCAAAACTACATCAAAGGCCCTCGCCGAAGCATTCGCTGATCGCCAGTGTCCGCACACAAAGTCCGAAAAACATACTCCAGCGGCAGGGAGCCGAACCTCCCGCACTGCATTCTACCCTGAGCAAATGTGTGGTTTGATCGCCAAAGCATTATATCCCAAAGTTTGTAGGACTCCGGTTCAAGCAATGCCTGTAGTTCCAGTCACTCAGCAGACGGAGCATCGTGTTAAGGAACAGTCCCTAAAGCACGAATCTCCGCTTTCCGGAGCAGATGACTTCACCCTCCTCGTTGAATCAGACTCTAAAGTAAAGGGTATTATTGAGGAACTCCTTGATGTCCAAAGTCTACTTGCTTATGCTGTCGACATGCCCTCCAAGGCTGTCGAAACAGAAGCGCATGCAATGGTCACTAAACTCCTGTCCCGTGCTGAGATGCTTGCATCTCCTGAAGCATTGGAAGCGATCAAGCAGGAGGCGACCGGACTCCAAGACGTCGGAGTATGGGATAGTTCAACTGTCCGGGAGAAGGCTGAGGTCGCAGCTCAAGCGCGACAGTCTGGGATCAAGGTGCACTTTGGTCAGCTCATGACGATCGCCAGCATCAAGTTCTATGAACTTGCGAAGCACCTCCAAAAGGTAAAGGGGCGCATCGTGTTCAGGGGAGACTGTGCAAAAGATGAAGCCGGTGCACCCGCGGTGTACCAAGAACTGGGGGCAAACCCCACCTCGGTACAGGGCCTAAACGCCTGCCTGGCGTATGGGTGCATCCCAGGACACACGGTCACCACCGCTGACGCGGTAAAAGCCTATGTCCAGGCGTTCCTTAGCTCACAGTTTCAGACGTGGATCGAGCTCCCGCCTGAGCTGCGGCCAAAGGAATGGGGTTCCAAGTTCGTGAAACCCGTGGTCTTGTTGATTCGTGCCCTATATGGTCACCCTGACGCAGGAGGTCTGTGGGAGGCACACCTTAAGAAACTGCTCAAGCAGCTGGGAGGAGAAGAAATCCCAGAGTTTCCTGGAAACTTTTTCTTTGAAGGGGTAGGCCTTATGCTCTCGACTTACGTCGATGACTTAACCCTCTCAGGTCCCGCAGATGCACATGAAGCCTTTTGGGCTAAGCTTACAAAAATGATAAATGTAGAGCCTCCCGAGCCGATCTTTCGGGTGCTCGGGCGTAATCATGTCTTTATAGATGGCCCCGCAGAGCCTCAAGAGCATGATCTGAATGCAGCTGTAAGCGCATTGAAGGGTGCCGTTGCATTTGACATGAATGACTATGCCCGTCAAACCGTAGAACTGTTTTGTTCTATAACCGGCACTCAGCCCGAGAAGCTCCGGAAGGTAACTACTCCGTTCTGTCCAGACGGATCACTTCCTCCTGAAGATGATCAGTCAGCTGGCGAGCTAGCCCCAAATGCGTGCAAACTCCTCATGAAGGCCTTATGGCTGGGACGACTAGCACGTCCTGACATCATCAAGCCCATAGGTGACTTAGCAACCGCCGTTCAGAAGTGGTCTCGCAACCATGATAGGCAACTCGCCCGTCTTATCGCGTACATCCACTCGACGACCCACTATCGCTTGGCAGGGGTCATAAAAGATGACCCTCAAAATCTTCACCTCGCGTTGTACGCTGATGCCGACTATGCTGGGGAAAGGGATGCGAAGTCCACATCCGGTGGCTTCCTGGTCCTCAAAGGACCAAACACCCATTTCCCCTTAGCATGGCTCAGCAAACGGCAGACATCCGTGTCGAGGTCCACCACCAAAGCTGAGGTCGTTTCGCTCACATTTTCCTTGTATCAAGAGGGCCTTCCCTCCTTGACCTTGTGGGAACGTTTGCTTGGACGCCCAGTCGAGCTGGTGCTGCACGAAGATAACCAAGCCACTATCCTCGTTGCCAAGAAAGGTTACTCTCCGAAAATGCGGCACATACAGCGCACTCATAAAGTGAACTTGTCCGCACTTGCTGAGCAACTTGAACCCGGCACGGGCGTAGTAATCAAGTACGTAGCAACCGATCTCCAGGCAGCAGACATCTTCACAAAAGCACTGCAACCCTTGAAGTGGGACCACGCTCTCAAACTTTTGGGCATCAGAACCAATTTGCCCGAAAAGTTAAAAGATGTCCGGCCTGAGATGACCAAGCATTAACAAAAGTGCAGAAATCAAAGGTAAGCCCTCTTTATGGTCTGGTAAAGGACCTTGCATCACATGGGTCGCAGCTCAAGCGCGACTGTAAAATACAAGTCTCTTAGTGAGCACGGGGAGGGGGGAGTTGAATAATCACGACCCCTTGACCCCCAAAGAGGTACCCCAGAAGGGTGTGCATGCATGTGATGTTAGAGGCCCCATTGACTGCATGTGTTTCAAGTGACATGTCGAATGGCAATGACCATTTGGCTCAAGATGCCCATCAGATCAAAACCAGGGTTTGCGCTCGCCTACCGGACTGGGGTTAATAAGGGTCCCGGTTTCTGGTTCGCTGTGTTTCTTTCCCTGTTGAGTTTATATCATCATATTTTCTTATACGAATATGCACTGTATTATCCTTCGTGTTTTTCTTGCATCGGATAGGTACGCATCCATCCTCAAACATTGCGATCGTGATTTGGGGTTTTCGCTTGTGCCAGGCTCTGCGAACGAGAGGCACGAGTCCGCAAAGGTTCACGTGTTCGGATGGTTCCGGTTCATCCGGACCCCCAGCCAAAGGGGTATTCTTTCGGCACAAACAAACTGAAACCCATTTGGGTGTCACATGTTGGGATCACAGCAGCGGTTTTGTTGCCCCATGAAAGCAGTCGGGAGAGCCGCATGCTTCTTGAACATCTGCACCGCGCCACATGCAAAGAAGTTTGCGGAAGGGTCTGCGGAAGGGATTTCTTTAGCGGAAAGCTCGCGGAAGCTTTGTTTCTTACAAGCTCACTTGGCGATGACATTCAATAGGGAACCACCTCACAAGTGGCTGGTGGACATGAATCCCCGCGTAAATGATGTCCACCACAAGGTTCCTCATTAAAACTCATACCCACTTTTCTTCTGCGCTCATACTGGTGGAAGCCTTGGAAGGCCGCGGAAGCAAACGATGAAAAACATGTACGGACGGCAGCCCGCGGAAGGAGCGGGCTTCAAGAGAGATCAACACGAAACCGGCCCTTGCTGTTTTTGCGGACCGATCGAATGAGAAACGCCCATTGAGTGACTTCAGCCCATACAGATGTCGGGGCCATTTTTCTCGCTTCCAATTCCGAAATTGAGCAATTCCTCCGGAATGGTGTCCTTTTGTCCTTTAAGACCATCAAGGGGTAAACATCCTTGACCTTTCCCAGGTGGGTGGCTTCCTTTTCCTTCCCTTACAACCATCCAAAAGGCCTCAACATCCCTACTTTGAGACGTTTCGCATGTCCGGCTGTTTTTTTGTGTTGCTCCCTAGAACGGACAACAGCTCCAGTTTCTGACTTTGATACCCCCCAGTCCAAAAGCAAGCCCCCAGCCTTTGGTTTGGCCGTTTTTGGAGCACCCCGGTTGGTCGGTCTCGTTTTTTGGGGGGGAAAACCACCGGGCCACCCACCCATTCCTTGGCTTCGACACGGGTCGCGTTTCGCAGTTTGGGCTCGGATCTGGGCTTCATCGCCGTGTTGCTGGAGATCCTGGCCGACCTACTGCCGGCGCGAGAAGAAATCGGTTTGATTCGGAACTCGCAGAGAGTTGCTCGTGCTGGTGTTTGTTTTCCGGTTTTTTGTTTGGGGGGGGAGCTGGGGGCGATGAAGTTGGACGCAGTTTTTTTTGGACTTCAACAACTCGGGTTTTTGTTTCCAGCTTTTAGTTTTACGGGGGGCCCAAGAGGGCACAAAAATGTTTGGCACCCACCCACCAAGCAGTCGACTCTCACTCAGCCCAAGGCCGCAAGACCAGGCCAGTTCGGGTCTTTGGGCAGCCAAGCTGCATAACTTCACAGGGCTCCTTAAAAGATCTCCATTTTGCAACCAGCTAAAACATGTTGCTTTTTTCCACATCAAGACAAAGTTGGAAACTACCATTTCCAAGTTGCAATGCTGAGGTGTATGCATCCGGATCCCTGCTTCAGGTGCTCCTCAACTCGTGCTTTGGATTTGGAGTTGGATTTGAACCCCAGCTCCTGTTGAAACCGAGGGAAGCTGTTTCCAATCCAAACCACCGAGCCACAGATTGGAAGGGAGCTGATGCTGTGGATGGTTGCGAATTTTATTTCGCACCACGAAACGAAATCATGGTTGAAACCATTGTTTGCTGGTATTTGCGGGGGGAATCAAATCATGCCAGGGATTCTTAGGTGGTGCGAAATGGATTTTGTGGTGGAAACTGCCACTTTTGGAGGTTCCAAAAAGGGGCATGGAGGAAACCCTGTACCTATCCGATACTAACAGGTACCGAACCATCGGACCCAATAGTGAGTTATTGCAGCAAAGCTATAAACCAATATTCAAGGTAGAAGGTAGTTGTGTTTTTGTTTACTGCTTTTTTTTGCAGGGCTTGGCGCCGGCTCGGTCCGACTTACACAGGGCACAAAATGCTGACTTCGCTAAAACACAACAACTGGTTGGGTGGTGATTGCATGCTTGGGCTGCGTGAAAAGTGTTCGGGTTCGTGCAGTATTGAAAAAGAACTGCTTGCGCAAATTGCTCGTTGGTAGTTCTGTTCCTTGTGTAATGCTTGGTTTGGTTTGGTATTTTGTCTTGGTTCGCTGCCTGCTTGGCATTGCTCGACCTTTGTGCTCCTCACCTCACAGAAGGAATGACGATTACGATCCAGGGAGGGATGGAGCCTCCATAATTTGTCCTGCGTTTACCAGAGGCAACGGAGACGGCGCCTCACCCATGTGGCAACTGGATCTGCTTGCACTAATTGTTTTTGTAGCTTTTATTCGGCCGACAAATGTGTTCAAAGATTTAAAGATCCCTGTATTTCCCGTTTTAAACATCACCTTTTGGGCCACAGCTTCAAAGGGCAAAAACCACCATTTTGGGTGTTCCCTTCAAAGACACACACCCAGAAAAGGACGACACGGCACTTATTAATAGGGCCCTCCAAAAGTGATGATTCCCCACTAAACCCAGAAACACTTCCCTATTACTCGACTGGACTTGATGAATGTGGGGTCAACATTAGCTCGGACTGGATTAACTTGCAATGTCCTCAGCATGGTTGTTGTTGGGAAACATTTGACATTTTGCTTATTGTGGTTTAGTGGTTGAAATCCCCACTGAACTGCTAAAAATCATGTTTTGCTCCCCAAACCCAACGTCAACCAAGTTAGGCTGAGAGCGCAGAGCGATGTCAGGTACTCTGCTTGGGCCTTGTGCTGCGCTTAGTGCAGAGTTCCACACGCGACGGAAACGAGCGAGTTCCTAGCGGCACGTGATTGCTCGACTGCCGGCGATGCTTGTCGATTCTCCAAAGGCCTTGCGAAATTTCTGGCTTATGGAGATTCATGCCCCTTTTCCATGCAAGCAAACTGAGACATCATTTCAGCCCTGATGGCATCAAGCGCAGAGCTTTCCAAAGGGGATTTCCTCAAGCAGATGCCTGCGGTTTTCGGAAACTCCTTAAGCCAGACTCAAAACCCGGGTAAGCGACGGAGTGCCTTCGCCCTTTGGTGACTCTTTAGGTGGCTCCCAGCCATCCGGTTCCTTGGCTTTTGAGCTTTTTAGATCCTTTTGTCCTTTTAGATCCTTTTAGATCCTTTTAGATCCTTTTAGATCCTTTTAGTGTTTAGTGGTAGCCAAAAGCCTTTTAGTGTTTAGTGGTAGCCAAAAGCCTTTTAGTGTTTAGTGGTAGTTTCCGTATTTAACCCACTAAATTGTTGAACTTTTAGCGGGGGATCGGAAATCGGGCAGCCCAGTTATCATGGTTTGGCGTTCGCCGTTCTAGTACCAGGTGGTTGACTATGAATCTGAGTGAACTTTTGGGCAGCACACGTGCATGTGGGTTTGTCCTTTTTTGGTGTGTTGAGTTGCTTCAAAAGGCAGAAGGTGGGACCTCCCCGAATCATACTCCCGAATCATACCCCCGAATCATACCCCGAATCATACCCCCGAATCATGCCCCTGAAAACGTATGCTGCAAGATGCTACTGTTCTTCTACCGTTTTGTGTTGTTCACTGTCTCCACACCAACCACCACCAGCGCTACCCAATACTACCACTACCACTGCCACTGCCACTCCTACTACTACTACTACTCCAATTACTACTACTACTGCTACTACCACCTACTACTACTACTACTACTACTGCTACTACCGCGACTATGAGTATTACTACCACTACCACCGCTACTACCGCTGCTACTACTACTCTACTGCTTCTACTTCTGCTTCTGCTACCCTTACTACTAACTACTACGACTACAACCTTGACTACTACTACTACTACTACTACGACTACAACCTTGACTACTACTACTACTACTACCACTACTACTACTACTACTACTACTACTACTACTACTACTACTACTACTACTACTACTACTACTACTACTACTACTACTACTACTACTACTACTACTACACTACTACTGCTGCTACTACTACTACTACTACTACTACTACTACCACAGCTACTACGAGTTTGTAATCAGTGCCGTTTTGCACCTAGCCGAATCATACCCGCGAATCATACCCGAATCATACCCGCGCAATGAACTTGCCTTGCCAAGGCCAGCGCCAAGTCTTTTCAAAGCTTCCGCGCCACTACAGTCGCTGCTTCTACTGTTACTGCTACTACTACTACTGCTACTACTACTACTACTACTACTACTACTACTACTACTACTACTAGGACTACTGCTACTACTATTTACTACTACTCCTACTCCTACTACTGCTACTACTATTACTACAACAACAACAACTACTACTACTACTACTACTACTACTAAACTACTAACTACTACTACTAATACTACTACTACTACTACTACTACTACTACTACTACTACTACTACTACTACTACTACTACTACTACTACTAGTAGTACTACACTACTTCTTCTACTACTACTACTACTAGTACTACTACTACTACTACTACTACTACTACTACTACTACTACTACTACTACTACTATTGTTACTACTACAATATCACTACTAGTACTACTACTTCGGCGACTACTGCTACTACTACGGCTGCTGCTGCTGCTGCTTCCGCGAATCATACCCCCGAATCATACCCCGAATCATACCCGCGAATCATACCTGCGCATCATACCTGCGAATCATACCCCGTACTCAAACCTTCCTGCCCGGCCACCCTAAAAAATACAAGCCCATGTGCCTTTGGGCTTGCGGGCTCATCCACCTCAGGACCTATGAACCAAAGGCGGACTTCCCCGGAAAGTCTTGTGGTTTTCTTGCCGGTGCTCAGAGAATGAGAGACTGAATTTCTGGGTCCCCTGAAAGGACAACACCAGTTGGAGTTTTTTTTGTTTTTGAGTCATTCCATTTCTCATTCCCTGCATCTCCGCACCAGCAAGTTCTTGGAAATCGACTCCCGGTGGGCAAGAAAACCTGAAAATCCAAAAAAAAAGAATCCAACTTTTTGGAACAACCGAATTAGCCGAATCCCAAAAAAAACAAATACTCGCACACGAAGCTTTGCTTCCGCTTCATTTTTCGGCGTCGGGATCCGAGATCCTGTGCCTGGGCGACTTGCGCTTATGGTGTCAGACCATGTTCTCGGCCGCCCTTCTGATGACCCTCAAGGCAAGGTGACCAGACGGAAGCTGGGTTTGGAATGTTTGGAGGGGGCGGCTTAGAGGGAAAAGCAGGCAGGTGGGCTTCTGGTGGGGAGTCTTTCTGTTCCTTCTTCTTTTTCTTGTCTTTTCTTTTTCTTTCTTTTTTTTTGGGGGGGGGGTGGGGGTCCCCTATCAGCTGGAAAGAAGATTGGGACTAATGCCCTGATTGTGTTATTTCTTTCTTACTTGGGCTATTCAGAAATGAGAAGGGACCGAAACTCGATGGTTCGTGCCATTTTTCAGAAAAGCTTTCGGGGCTTGAACCGACATGTTTGGGCCATGTTGCAGGTACAAGAGAGCCCCAGGACTCTCTCAGTTCATTGATTAAATGACCCGGGAAATCGGTAGTTTCCTGAAATCGGTTGGACTTGAACTCCTGCCTTAGTCCCTAGAAAGCTACTGAAAAAGTTGGTCTTGCTCAAAAAACCGGTGGCTCACAGGTGTTCCTCCATTTCCCATTTTCGAACCTCCAAACGCAGCATGTTCCACGGAAACCACCGTGAACTTGCAACCGTTGAAGGGGCAATCCAGTGACCTGGTCGTTCGGTCTCAGCTTTGCTGTTCGTTGTGTCATGCTGGCCCTTGGTTTGGTATTGGTTTCTAGGTCCCCATTAGTGCCCTTTCTCTCCCCTTTTTTTGGGGGAGGCTTCCCCTACAAAAATAGACAAAGCCGAAAATGGTGGGTACCAACTTACTCTAACCTCTCTACTGGAGGACCTAGGTTTAGTCTTAGTTCACAGCTTGGAAATCCAAAAAGCCAACTGAGCCACAATCAAAACCCGGGTAGATGAAGGATAGTCAGGGACGATACCAACCAGAAATAGCTGCAGAATTCCGCCTTCTTAGTTCCTTACATGGTTCTGGGTAGACCATTTGTGTACCGGGTTTTGATTGTGACTCATGTACCCACCCCACCCCACCCCACCCCACTTGGCCCACAGCTTGGAAATCCAAAAAGCCAACTGTCGGAGGCTTCAACTCCGCGATTTTTTTTTGGGGGGGGTCGCCAGGGCTTCGCTTCCTGGGCCACGGTGGTGCCAGACGCGCGGGGATGGAAGGCGATCGGGGAAACAAATCGGGAAGTGGAGAAGAAAAAAAACAGTTGCCCCGTGGTGCCCGATTGATTTTCAGTTTGTTCCCCGTTGTTTTGGTTTTCTTTCGGATGGGTTCCCTTTAAACTCAACCAACCAAAAAAGGATGCCCATTTTTTCCCCCTGGCCGCTAGGCATGTGAGCAAATAGAAGAGGCAGACAGACCAATTTAGTGGTAAAAACAAAATTTGCGTACCTTTTCTGGCCAGTCCGCTCAGGAATTGAGTACTACAAGGGCATACCATCTACTTCCATTTGCTGAAGTATACATTTGTTATTTTCCCCTCTTGGTTTTTAAGGGAATCTATCACCAATGGCAATATGTTTATGTTTTCCAGAGGGCGAACAAGGCAAATGGAAGTGTAACACGAAGGTATCTCCCGCAATGGACAACATTGCTCCCTAAAGCATCCCCAAGTGTGAATGAATCTATGAATCTTAATAGAACGACCACACTCCCTCAGTTCCGTTTCAGACTGTAGTCACTTTTCAGGCAGACACACCATTTCAGTGGTGGACAAACAGTTTGGTTCAGTCCACTCAGGAAGTGAGTACTACAAGGGCATGACCATCTAATACCAAGGGATCGTAGTTTATCATATCTACTGCATGCTTCCCCAAAAGGTGAATTGGGGGTAGGGTATCACGAAACTAAATGGAGTCGTTAGGGGGAAAAAATGGTATGTGATCATTCAGCCGCTTGTGATAGTTTCCGCTTTGCGAAGCTCCCAAGATTCCCTTCCATCCGCAGAATCCGAGTCGCCTTCTGCATTGGGATCGGCGTGGGAGGCATCCCTGGAGTTCCACGTTGGTTGAAGTGCCCATCCGAATGTTTCTGTTTGGGGGGGACACCTTCTGGTTCATAATTTGTCAAATGGAAACCAAAAGGAAGCCAACCATTTTGTGGGTTCCCCTATTTTGAGAAGCACGCATCTGGAGGGAACCCTTTGGCTGTTTGAAGGGAATCCAAGAAGAAGCTTTGCCGTAGCCAACGTGAGCTTCCATCCTGAAATAGCGATTTCATGGATGCTTAACACTTGAAACCATTTCCCAACCCCCCCAAAAAAGAGAATCTGGTTATTCCTCTTGGGTCCCCCCCCCTCAAAAAAAGAAAGAAAAAGAAAAAGGGAAACAAACAAATCTGATATTCCTCTTGGTACTTATGCCCAACCAGGGCTGTCCATTTGCTTGACCCCAAGGTCGAGTTTTCATCCCAGGGGTCTTCCTTGTGGGGAAATCAAACGCCCCTGGGCCCCTGGGTTCTTGGTTGCTCCCAGCCATCCTCCCAGCTTAGCCTCTTAGTGTTGAGGGTCAGGCGGTCGCTCAGTGCGGTCCAAATCCTGTCGCTTAGTGCGGTGCAAATCCTGTCGCTTAGTGCGGCAGTCACTTTCACCTTCACGGGCCCGTTGAGCCCGTGTGGCCCGTTGAGCCCGTCGGGCCTGTTGGGCTGTTGGGACCGCTGGGCCCGTTGGGACCGTTGAGCCCGCTGTGCCCGTTGGGCCCGTGGGGCCTGCCCGTTCGGACCGCTGAGCCCCCTGCTCTGGCTCGTCTTGGCTTGCTTTACTTTTCTTTACAAGAACTTACATGTGTTTAGACACGTGCCAAAAGTGTGGTTTTACCTGCATCTCGGAAGGTTCGCGGAAGGCTCGCGGAAGGTTCGCGGAAGGGCGAGGCGGAAGACTGTTTTTGGAACAAGGCTCACGAATATATGTATGTTGTGTTATGTATGCTATTTTATGCTGTGCTGTGTTATGTTATGTGGTGTTATTATATCACATTATTTGTGTAGTGCTATGTATGTTTTGTAATGTAATGTGATGTATGCGTGTATGTATGTTGTGTATGTTATGTATGCAATGTACGTAAGTATGTATGTATGTATGTATGTATGTATGTATGTATGTAATGTAATGTATGTAATGTAATGTATGTAATGTAATGTATGTAATGTAATGTATGTACGTACGTACGCACGTATGTATGTATGTTGTGTTGCGTTGTGTTGTGTTGTGTTGCGTTGCGTTGCGTTGTGTTGTGTTGTGTATGTATGTATGTATGTATTTATGTACGTATATGATATGTGTATGTATGTATGTATGTATGTTTGTATGCATGCATGCATTCATGTATGTGTGTATGTATGTATGTATGTAATGTAATGTAATGTAATGTAAGGTAATGTAATGTAATGTAATGTAAGTATGGTATGGTATGGTATGGTACGGTATGGTATGGTATGGTATGGTATGGTACGGTACGTTACGTTATGTTATGAAATGTTATGTTATGTTATGTATGTATGTATGTAGTGTATGTAGTGTGTAGTGCTGTGTATGTAACATAATGTAATGTAATGCAACGTCGTGTATGTGTGTATGTATGTTATGTATGCTATGCACGTATGTATGTATGTTATGTGAGTATGTATGTAATGTATGTATGCGTGTGTACGTGTATGTATGTATGTATGTTATGTTATGTTATGTCCCCTGCTGAACTTACATGTGTTTAGACACGTGCCAAAAAGTGTGGTTTTACCTGCATCGCGGAAGGTTCGCGGAAGGGCGAGGCGGAAGACTTTTTTTGGAACAATGAATATGGGGTAAACTTCATGTATATATGTATGTTATGTTATGTTATGCTTTTTTACGCTGCGCTATGTTATGTTATGTTTTGTTATGTTATCTTATTATGTGTGTAGTGCTATGTATGTTTTGTAATGTAATGTAATGTGACGTAATGTAGTGCAATGTGATGTATGCCTGTATGTATGTTATGTATGTTATGTATGCTATGTACGTAAGTATGTAGGTTATGTATGTATGTATACAATATATATATATATGTATGTATGTATGTATGCATGTATGTATGTATGTATGTGTTTAATTAGTGTAATATGTGTAATTTTTGTATGCATGTATGTATGTTTGTAATGTGTGTATGTTATGTTGTGTTTTGTTATATGTTTTGTTATGTTATGTTATGTGGGTAATGCGATGTATGTAGTGTATGTATGTAATGTAATGTAGCGCAACGTAGGCCCGCTGAGCCCGTTGGGCTCGTCGGGCCCGTCGGGCCCATTGGGCCTGTTGGGCTTGTTGGGCCCGCCGGGGTCGTTGGGACCGCTGGGCCCGTTGGGCCCGTTGAGCTCGTTGAGCCCGTTGGGCCCGTTGAGCCCGTTTGGCCTGTTGGGCGCGTTGGGCCCGTTGAGTTCGTTGGGCCCATTGAGCGCGTTGGGCGTGTTGAGCCCATGGAGCGCGTTGGGCCCGTTGATTTTATTGAACTGACCGGTTTAACACCTGGGTTCTGACTGCACTAAGTGACGGGTTTTTTGCTGCACTAAGTGACCTGTTTAACACTTGGGTTCTGACTGCACTAAGTGACGGAATTTTTGCTGCACTAAGTGACCTGCTGACCGTGTTGAGTGGTACTTTTCATTTAACCCACTAAAAGTTCTCAACTTTTAGCGGGGGATCAGAACTCGGGCAGCCCAGGGTTGAAGTCGCCCGTCCCAACCGGGGCAAAAGCAGCTGGCTCCGAAGACTTGGACTAAGCTCGACAAGTGGCGGTATGTGGCGGTGCTCAAAGTCCTTTTTTGGGCTCTCGGTGGGCTTCCCAAGCCCGCCATCCAGGGTCTCCTGCGAAAATATGACATAGAGGAAAGACAAAACAGGCGCCAGAATCTGAAGCTCAGATTTCCTGAAACTCATGTTTTCTCTGGCACCCCTTCAGCAACCACCGCCGAGCGATTTTTGGTTTGAATGCTCCGAGCAAGGCCTGCCAAGAGAGGCTGGGCTTGGACGGGCTCCGGTACTACCGGGAGGACCCGTTAGAGCAACTTAGAGACTGTTTTAGGGGGACCCCCCTTTTTGGTTGGTAAACCAGAGGGAAACCAGAAGGAATTGACCTTGTTTGTTGTTGGCGCCACAAAAAGACAAGCCCCACTAGGACTGATTCATGAGTTCATGATCAAAACTTGGTACCAAAATGGCCCACCCAAAATGTAAAGAACTACAAAGACGGCCGCAACTAGTTCCGGCAAGGCGACTGTCCCTTTCTAACCTTCACTTGCCCGGGTATTGATTCTGGCTTCAATGTTGGGGGGTGTCTTGTTGCATTTGGTTCTCACTTGCCCAAAGCGATTCGACCTGACATGACCTTTTGGTTTCCCCCTTTTTGCAACCATTTTTAGTAGAGGTCCCAAAAGGTGATGACCTTTTTCGTGGGGTCCTTTGTGCAAAAAAGGTCTGTTGGGGAGGTGTCCTACAACCGACCAGTCCAAAGCAACTAAAGGGAAGCAACGAGTGTCCCACAGGTTCCAGGGCGTTTGTTGCTCGAACACCCCTGCCCCGGATGAACCATTCGGAGGCTCGGAGGGGAGTCGATCTCAGGAAACTTGGAAAAGCGCAACATGCGGTGGCTGGACCAAATCCTACACCGGTTTGGCTTGTCCCATCCCAGAATCCACAGGGCTTTCGCCTTCCCAACTGGTTCAGGAGTTCGTCCCTGGCTCGGGTCGGTTGACTCATCTTTGGCCCGAGAGTCACATTGCCCAGGGGACTTTCTCCGCTTCAAATGTGTACAAAAAAAGGTCTCAGAAAAGGATATTCCTCTAAACATGATGGGGTTCCATGTTAATGTTAACCCCGGATTAATAAACCCCTGGTTGATTAACAGGGGGGTGTCCAATTCCTTTTAGTGGTTGGATTCAGACCACTTTTGGAGGAACACCCCCGTAATGGGACGGGTTCTTCTCTTCGATCCTGGGTCAACACTTGACCCGGACATCCAATCAGGACCTGCCCATGTCGAAGATGGTGCCTGACATTCTCCTTTTAGAGGCGGCCCTGGGCCCGCGGAGCGAATGTCACAAAGCCTTTGGGGGGCATGGACGTTTGGTGATTTGAAGCTCATTTCGGTCATACAACCTCTGATTTTATCTCCAAGATTTGGTTTGTATCCTTCTGCCTAATCCACGGTAAAAGGAGCTCACTGGAGGTAAAAGCAGCTCACTATAATTATAGGGGTACCTTCCAAAATTCTTTCCAGGAATCCTTCTTTCAAGAGAACCTTCAGAAACCAAGGGAAAACGGATCCGGTTTTCGAAAAGAACGATGGTTGAAAAGAATGGACAAGGAATCAAGCCCTGCAATGATGCTCACGATGTAGATCCTTGACCTGAGGGTCCCCATGGTTCTGGGCAAGAAATACCGACGTCACGTTTCGGCGGGGCTGCGACCACCCATGATGACGGTTTCTTTCATAGGCGCCCCGTTTCTCTGTTGTTGTTGTTGGTGCAAATAAAACCACCAGGGGGCCGCAGGTTTTAGTCCTTGGTTGCATTTGCCAGGGCTCCATTTTGGGTACCTATTGATGACCCACCCATTTGCCCAGATTGTAGAAGCAAATCCCTGAGGTGACTGATACACCGAGTCCTTATCACTAGTCAGATTGGAAGCCCCGGCTTGCTTGAAACAGATTTTCCCTGCCGGCCTTTGTTTGTTTTTTGATAAGGGCAGCATGTGTCCATTAGAGTCAATTCGTGTCTTTGACTGTCACCTTTCGCAACATGGATTCCATCTTTGGACGAGGAAAAGAGAAATGAAGAGTTGAATATCCAAGAGGTCGTCAAAGCCAGTCATGATGGGCCCGATTGCTTCTTTTTACAGGAGCAGGAACAGGTTTTTGAGTTCAAGTTCGGTCTCAAAGTCGGACACCTTTGTGGATTGTGTTCTTAGGCTTTGCATGTGCCACTACAAGTCATTTGTACGCAGAGAGCCCAATCGCTTCAAGCGCGCCGTTTTCCGCCAAATCTGTGATTCCCCCTTTGGCCCAACAGTGTACTGCGTTGGTTCCCCAAATTCGGGGTGTCTCAAACTCAGCGACCCCGTAAACTCTCAAGTGAGGTCCCCTCACAGTCTCTTAAAATGATCCATCCACATGAATCCTCTACACGTGAGGTCCCACAGTATGGCCACCCACTCCTCAGGAAAACAGTTGCCGGTGCAACTGGGGAACAGGGTGCCGATTGCTATTGGGTTGGATCTTTGGCCTTCAACTTTTTGAAAAATGAACGTGTTTTCCAATAAACCCCCCAAAAAGTTACTATTTTTTGCAGGGACCAAGTAAAACGGGTCATCGGTCGCCGTGAGTCGTCCGTAGGTGCGGGGCCTATGGGTGGGAAGTCCGCTGCGTCAGCGCCTCTGCGCAGATGCTCCGTCGGGGGCCGCAGCGAGAACGGCGAGCCGTCGGTCACAGGGCTCCGGTGGAAATTGGCTGCGGTTGTCAAAACCGCTTTGGGATCCCATTTTGGTTGGTAGGTGAAGTCACCACCCATTTGAGGATTGGGATGTTCACTGGGGGTACGGGGTTTTCACCCATGGCCATATGTATGCCTCGGCGGTTTTTAAGGATTTGGACCCTCAAGAAATTATGGCGTTCCTTGAAAACCATCCAAAAAGGGGTACCGAGCCTCAAAAAAAGGGTGGTATTTAAACGGAAACCAAAAAAAGCCAAGCAATTCGGCGCCTTCTCCAGTGGCTGAAAGGAAATTCTGCCACCAATGGGGTCCGGTTCGGGGGCCAAGGAGGCGCGTGGGGAGAGTTGAGCCACAATCAAGACGCGGGTAGATGAAGGTTAGTAAGGGACGATCCCAACCATAAATAGCTGCGGCCGCCTTCTTAATTCGTTACATGGTTCTGGGTCGACCATTTTTAGTACCAGGTTTTGATTATGACTCAGTTGGCAGTTTATGCATGCCTTCTCTCAAGCCAGTTGGACACTTTCAGGAAGTGTTTCAAAGCCGACTAGAGTGACTAGAGAGCTCATTTGAGTTGTAGCTTTGACATGTGCCAAAATCCTGCTTCTTGCATTTGACAATATTTGACATCGACTCTGCAACTGGCCCTTGCCAAAGTACTCAGGAAGCTATTGCAATGCAAAAATCAGTCTCTCGCTCGCTGGGGCTGAGGGCGTGCAGCAAAAATCGAATGTTAACACGAGTCTGAAGAGCTTTCAAGTGGCTTGGGTTTGTCTCGAACTAGCCCCCGCCCCCGGTAAAAAAGAGTTGGTTTGCTTTGGTTGTGCTGAAAAAGCGATAAAGAAAGGTACCCCGCGGCAAAAAGATAGACCCCAGTTGAACTCCTCGCTGAGAACTGAGCAGGGCCCTCTCTATTCTTAAGCAGGGGTCCTTTTGGTGGCTTAGTCTCACCTTTTGGTCTTTGCACCTACACCGAAGTCAGATTCAGACGTTCCGGCAGTTCCGGCCGGTGAAATCGGTCAGCGGCAGATCGTATTTCCCTTGTTGGGGCTTTTCAACATCACCTGTTTGGTCCAATAATGAGTGTCCCTTTCTAGCGAAATATAGGGAGCCCTGCTAGTGGCAAACAAAAGTTTGAGACTTTGTTTGGCCAACCCACTCGATCGGAAGTGAGCTTCGGTGTTCCTTCATTTTAACTTGTTGCAGATGAATCTGGCCAAGGATCGATCAGCAACCTGGTGTGAACGCATCGGTTGGACCGATGCTTTTCACGTGGTTCCGACCAACATGCGTGTCTGAGGTTCTGCAGCAGCATTTGTCTCTCTACCCTCTTCTGCACCAGTCTTTGCGAGGCGGCATGTGCAATTGGTGAAGGGCATGATCGAACGACACGGGCCCTAGAAAAAATACTTGTCTTACACTTGTGAAAGATGAAAAGGATGACTGATCACTGGTCAAAATATCAAAGGAGCCAAAAGTTGGCCGCCAAATTGCCAGAGTCGATTGCGAATCTGGCCTTTGTGAGACCATTGGCTTGAATTCTCTACGGCAGACGGGGGGTGGGGTCTCCTTACCGAGTGGCACTCCGGCAAGCAACATGGTTTTTGACTTATCTCGGCGCTGGTGGGCCGAGGTACATGCTTCCTGATGGTTGAACTTATTTAGTGGGCCGAGGTACACTGATAGCTCGCTTTTCAATCATCTTGAGAGTTAACTAATATGATTCGGACACTTGTCCTTTCTCCAAATCGTGGAAACAAATGCCGTGGCAGGTCAGCATGACATCTTGGATTGCAAGTCGAGAGGCGGGGCCGGAGAGCTGGCTGGGATATACCCCTTGCAGTGTTGGTGTTGTAGTTTGATTTTGATGGTAAACCCCCTTTTTGTGTGGTGTTCAAGGGAAACCAAAAGGAAAACCCATAAGTTTGGGGGGTGTCCCCTGAAAAGACACACATATATCTTTTTGGCTCAGCATGTTCGTACCTGTTTGCCCCAGCTTAAGCGAAGATGGCGTGAATCTGGTTCCTCTGACCATGGTAAAGGAAAGGGGGTTAGATGGGTCTTGCTTTGCGGATCCATTTGTTGGGGCGGCCATCACAAGGTAAGTGCCACAGAAGGCATTGGTTTTGACATGAGAGCGTGTTTATCCGTTTCCAGTTGCATCCATATCTAGAGGCCTTCCAGCTTCAGCGAATAGTTGTGTGCTTGCGAAGACAGACGTATTTCTGGCTGCGCTTCCCAACATGTGGGCTTCTTCCGTAGCATCCCTGGTAGCGTTTCACTGGAGAGGTGACTTTCCGCCGGCCGATGGTTATGTATGTTTGTCATTTGAACGACGTGGGGATGTTTCAAAGTGCTGGCCCTGTAGAAGATTGGTATCATCCTGCTTCCATGCCAACATTCCCCAAAACTTGGGTGGTTCCCAGCCATCCCCCCAGCTTTCTAGCCTTTTATTGTTTAATAATGATTTCCATTTAACCCACTAAGAGTTACACTTTTAGCGGGGGACCTGAGGACAGCCCAGAAAAATAGCTGTTCTTGTTCGTTTCGGTTCGCAAACAAAAGAGGGAATGAGCAACCATACATATTCGGCGAGCAAGCACAAGTCACAGGCAGGCGCTCGCCAACAAACAACCAAATCAAGCAAGCCAGCAAGTACGCAAGCAAGCAGGCACCCCGCAAACACAAGTGCGCACACAAAATCAAACACGAATAAGCACGGAGGCACATATTGACTGCTTTGTAGCCTAAGATCTGGGTTGTCTCATTCGCTGTGCCTGTGGTTTTGGCTGCATGCGCACTCGGACTGTCAAATTCCCTGCAAGCCACAACCCTAAGGTGCAACCCCCATTAAAAGAACGGTTGAACCACTATGGATGATGACAATGCCTAGGCAAAGGAGGGTGGTCATATCAACCCAGCATTATTTAAATGGTGGTAACTGAACCCCAGGGACATTTATATTAACCTAACCATCAGTTTAATGGTGACTGAACCAATTCTTAATCAAAGAAGGGTCATCTATATTACCCCAAAGACAAGAAGAGATCAGTCACGGAAAGGCCTGCGTTGAGAAAGCTCTTCGGCGATTTTCTGGTGCTCAACGTGGCGATCCAAAATTTTCCCGTGTCTTTAGACATCACCTTTTTGGTTGCCGATTGGATTTGTGAGTGTGTTTGGGTGATGCTTAAAAAGAACTGGGGAACCCTCTGTTTCTCGAGTTGGCCCTGAAAGACATCTTTTTCTTGGCTGATGGGATTTGTGGGTATCCTTCCCTGCTGCTATTGGGTTGGATCTTTAGACTGGAAAACTTTTTGGATTCCCCTCATATTTGCTTTTAACCCGCAAAAAGTTAAACTTGCTGGGGGATCTACAGCACCCAAGGCTTGGGTGATGTTCAAAGAAGAAATGGGGAACCCTCTGTTTCTCAAGTTGGCCCTTGAAGATGGCTGGCTTTCCCCATTGAACTGGGTGCGTCTTTTTTGAGGGTGCCCTGCCTTAGGTTGGTCTAAAGGGGCAACCAAAGGGAAACCACCCAGCTTTCATGGTTGTTGTTGGGAAACAATTTACATTTTTGCTTATTGTGGTTTAGTGGGAGATCCCCACTTAACTGCTAAATTTAAATTTGTGCTCCCTTCCAACCTCAACCAAATTTTGGGCGTGAACCGATTTTGAGACAACCTCAAGTATCGGGAACCCGGGCCGATGCCCGATGCACGAGGACTCCGGCCTACTGCCGGCCATGGCACAATGCATCAGGCGCTCGGATCAAATCCGGGCGTGGCTCAGACGCTCCAAGTTACATGATAGTGCGCATGTAACTGCGTGTGTGTTTTTGGATGATACTAACTCCAAATTTGTTCGGAGCTCTCATGGGTTGCGTTTGCTGTTTCACTTTGACATACCTTCTCCAGCTTCCAGATTTGTTTTGTGCTGTGTACCCTGGACACAATGAACCCTGGACTTTTTTCGGCGACCAGCCTAAGCAGTTTTGGCCATCAGCATGTGTATTTTGGAGTTGGTACCCTCCTAAAGCATGGCTTGAATCGAAACCAAAAAGAATGCCGACACATTTTGAGGGTCCTCCAGCCGCCATGTTTTTCCTGATTTTGGAGGGTTCTCTTTAAAGTCAACAACACCAGAAAGAACTGGGCTTGTTTCCCATGGCCACTGGGGTCTGGGATGTTGACATACACATGGGTGCGGTGTGCCTCTTGGTTCCCTGTAAAGCCACCAAAAAGGGGTACCCTCAAACAAGACAGATCCATATGAACATGAGCTGAGCCGCTACGCCTAGCTGTAGGTGCCTGCTGCTGGTTTTGATGCTCGGCACTGCGCTGGTGCAGGGTATCTTGACGCTCGGGCCCTAAGAGACGTTTTCACCGGATGAAGGTTGTTTTTGTGTTGTTTGTTTTGTTTGTTCTTCTTTTTTTGTTTGGGGGGCGGGGGTTAGGAAAGTCTCCAGACTTCGTACTGGGGACCTCAAGATGGTTTCAGCGGATGAGGTTTGCTTGGGCGGCATTTCGATTGAAGTTCCTGGACTTCCCTTGCGCATTCAAATGCCGCCTGAACTCATTTTGGATAAGCTTTCTTTGTTTTAGTGTCAAAGGAGAAATAAAGGCCCTGCTTTTTTGTTGTGCGGGCAAGCGCTGAGGGGGGGATACAAGCGCCGTTTGTTGGGGCTTCAAGCATCACTGCCGAGCAACGGCTTTTTCGGACGGCGGGACATGGTAATTTCGCATCTCGGATGACACGTTTGTTGCCAAGTTTCTGGAGGGCCAGGCCTGTTGGTGGGACACGGAGTTCGGGCGCCGCAATCATGATGCGGATGTCTGAAGTTGGAAGGCACCGGACACCGGCTAAACTTGTTCATATGCTACTCAATGTGCGAATGGGAAGCCCGGATGAAATCCCTCGGCTGATTTTGATTGGGTGGTGCCCCTGGTGGAAATTCATCACTACCCTCCCACCAACTGACATGAAAATGCAAAAAGACCCTTTTCAAGCGGAAAGTAGTCTTTCTACCGGGGTCTGTGCACTTCCATGTTAGCTGGTGGGAAGGTAATTATTGCAGGGGAACACCCCCTGCTAAAAGGATGGGTTCTGCTTAAATACAGCGCAAGCAAGTCTGGCTCAGAATCGCGCACCCAGGGCCTCAAGCGCGGGTTTGTGCGAGACCCTGTCAAGTCCGAGCTTAGGATTTCGGTCTTCCTTTCAAACCAGAGGGCCACATCACAAAAAAACACATGTCCGGAAAGCGGGCAAACCCCCCAAAACCCATCTTGTAAGCCACAAAATCCCCGAACGCCCAGTTTGAACGTCCCCAAAACCCAACTTGTAAGCAACCAAAACCCGAAGAAACAAAGCACCCAAGAAACCCTTTGAGCAACCCAAAACCCGCTCGAAAACATTATCGACGCGAATAGGTCCCGGGCGGAGGCCACTGCTCTGGGCATGGCCGGGCACTCAGTCAGTGGTTGCACCACCAAATCCCTTAACATTGCCGGCGGTGGCGGGCAAACAAAATGGTACCCCCCCCCGGCCAACAACACACACACACACACATAGTCCGTTAAAAATGGCTGTATGGTGCTTCTTCCCCCAGTCAAGCCAATGCAGATTCCAAAGTAGACCTGGACGCCCGTGTGGTGGTCAAAAATAGGGTAAACCCAAAATGAGTTACCCCGGCAGATGGAGTGGAAAAGACTAAAACCAGCGGTCCATATAATGGTGGCTAAAGATTTGGACCCACCCCCAAATGGAATCAGAGGAGTGAGAGGAATACTTGGAGGTATAGAGGTTTGGGCTTTGGAGCTGTGCCCCAAAGCGATCGTCACAAAAATCACCCTATGGCGCGGTCGGGTTTTCATCCACCCTAAAGTGACAAAAGTTCTTTGCTTCTTCATGCCCCGAGCTGAAGCAGTGGGAAAAGGACTGCACCGGGGTCGAAACACCCCCTTTCAGAGCCTCGGGAATCTTAGGACTTGGGTCATATGCAAAATCGCGCCTCGTTTTCTTGGAAGGCTATGAGTTCACGCGTTGCGTCCGCCCCAATTCGGCATTTGTATTGGCGGCTTGCTGAATGCTGGTTTGAGACTTGCCGGTTTCGGTCGGGCACAATTGGAAGCTGGCATGCACAATGGAGCGAGGATAAGCTGAAAGACTTCTGACGCAACTTCCGGGCGTCAGCAAGAGCCCATGTCCACTGCCAGACTGGAGTGTTCATTGCTCTTGTGCTCTTTTTGTTGCCATCTTGTTCCCTTTCAACCAACCAAACGATCTCGTGTTACAGGCCTAAGTCTGACCAAGTGTCCAACCGCCAAAATGGCCCTTGCGCTGACAGGTCTTAGCGCTGGCAGTGCGGGGGCTCAGTTCGAGCAGGGCATTAGGAGCTAGCGATGCATGCGGCCACTTCTTACAGGGACCCCTAAAAACCGAAAGGGGGTATCCTCAAACAGAGCCTCAAACTACCAAGGAGAACGGGTCTGGCTCCATACACCGGTGGCTCAAACCTGGGTTTGGCGGACTTTCCTTCATTTCCCTTTTTGGAACCTTCAAAAGTGGTTGACGGGTGTGCACCTCATGCTGCCATGATTTTTAATAGGGACCCCCAGAAAAGTGGTTGGTGAACACAAATCCGCACCTAAGTCATGTCAACAGTGGTTGGTGGGTGCTCTCAAAAGCCTCAAAAAAAAAAAACGAAAGGGGAGACTGAGCCAAAGAAAGGCACGAAAATGGTTGTGGGTGTATGGGCAAACCCAACAGCAAAATTCCGCATGAGACATGGCGAAGTTTCATAGGGCACTCCCCTCAGCGGCTGGTGGATTCGTTTCTCCCCACCGAATTCTGATGTCCACCAAAGACTCCCCAATGAAAAGATCATACCCAAACAGGGCCCCCTAAACTGGTTGGTTGCCATTTGGTGTCCCTTCAAATATGAACCCACAGAGGGTCCACTTTGAGGAGCTCGTATGTTTTGCTGTGTGTCCAAAGTATTCACGTCTCTTTGATCAGATGCCGGCTGCGCGGCTCAAGGCCGGGCTTCCAGTTTGGTTTGCTCATGCCTCGAATTCGCTGCAGAGAACGCAGGTGCAGCAACCAATCTCTATCATGCTGAAGCTTCAACGTCAGTCTCTGAACATGAAGCTCACAAGTTCAAGAAGGTGCAGCAACTAATCTCTAGCTTCTTGCATCCGAATCTCCAATGATTCGCGAGTTGAGAATTGTGCGTATTGAAAGTGGTAGACCTAGCGCAGCGAGTCGAACTGTTTGCAGAGCGAGCAGAGACGGCGTTCTAACACGCGGCATTGAATGATCACAGCGCACCCTGAGCCCACGGTGGAGCTCTGTAAGGCAATGCCATACTTTTCCAAGCAGGGTCGATGGCATTGGCAGAGCTGCATTTCGTCACGACGGGATGTCGTGGCCAGATTTTGGATCCTTTGTATTTCAATTTGTTGTTTGCTGCGGAGAAGGCTGTTCTGCTGCGTTTGTGCGGGAATAGGGTCGATTGCTCCATTTGCACAGGTGCGTGTGCTCATCCCTTTGGGGCAGTGTGCTGTCTTCAGCGTTTTTGATGCTCGAACCAGTCCCTGCTTGCGGCAAGGGCAAAGAGTTGCCATTTCGTCCCGTGGGTTTTCCATTTCGGGTTTGGTGTCAACTTCCCCATTGGTCCGGCCGGTGTATTCCTCAACGCTCTGGGACAATTGCGGAGACTGCGCGCTTCTTCGGATCAAAAAGATCCAAACCATCGAGCCCGCCACAAGCTCCCCATGTCTCGGCATCAAGCCACGTGCAACTCCCGAGGTCTATGGCAATCCGGCATGGGGCCCGGCTCCGGCTGGTTTTTGTTTCCTCGCTTTGGTTTGAAACGTCACCTGCCATTGAGGGGACCCCCCTTGTTTTGCGGTTTTTAGAGGGAAACCAGAAGGAAACCCAAGGTCCATTTTGGGGAAAAACACACACACACACACACCTTGTGGGCTCAGTTAAAGTATTTTGTTTCCTCATTCCTCCTCCATCCGCTGGCCGGTTCTTTCCAGAGGTTACACATGATTTCCTCTTCATTCATCTCTCTGGCACTCCTCTCTTCGCGAGTGTCCATGAGAGATAAAATGCTTCTTGGATGATTTCTTCCTTGGCAGTCAATGGTCAAGAATTATTGGTTATAGACCAAGAGCAGGAATGTGAGTGAGCGAAGGCGAGCGAAAGAGATGTAAGACTTCCCATTCCTTGCACCCACTTCCCACCTATCCATCTCCTCGCGGTTGGAAATGGTGGGAGGTGCGTGAGTTCAAAGGGTTAAACCGCTATGCCGTAAAGACTCAGATGATGGTGACCAAGATCCAGAGTTCAACCGCTAGTCGAGGAAGGTCCACCGCTCGTTCACTCATTCCATTCCTATCACTCACTGTAAGGGGAATTTTAGGCGAATTTTTGCGAGTCGGAAAGAGGGACCATCTTTCGCAGCCATGGAGCTCTGGGGAATTGATGTCCACTTGGTCTCCGGGGATGGACTTGGGTCATGAACCTCGACAAAGGCTTCCATGCAGGCACCAGCAAGGCAACCCCCGCGCCACCGTTCTGCGGATCCGAATTGCCACCTCCAGATATGGTGTTTGTCGGGGGTGTGAAGGAGAACCAAAAGAGACATACACATATGACTGTGGTTGTCAAAACCGTTTTGGGATCCCATTTTGGTGGGTAGGTGAATTCACCACCCATTTTAGAACCTATTTTAGTGGTTGGATTGAATCGGATGTTCTCTGGGGGAGAACCGATTTGGATTTTAACCCATGGCCACATGTTCTCCTCAGGCCTTAGCACTGGCGGTGGACGCCTGGTGCCAGCCTCGCTTGGAGCTGAGATCGAAATTTTGGTGGACCCGGGTTTGTGTCTTATGGGGAAACGTCGTGGTTCTAGGGGTTGATTCCTTAACTTTCACCCTTTTTGGGGGTACCCTATTCTATCCTCTCTACTGGAGGACCTAGCTATTTATGGTTCTTCTAGGTGTTTTTTTCTTTTAAGTTCTTTTTTCGTTACCCAAAAGGAAACCAACAGGGGATGAGTCGTCTTTTGATTTTGCCACCCCTAGATGCACAGTTCTAGGGGTTGATTCCTTTTCCATTATTTTCAACCATCGTTATTTTAAAAGACCAGCTATTTTCCCTGGGTGTCCGGAGGTTTTCTAGAAAGAAGGATCCCTGGAAAGAATGGGGAAGGTACCCCTAGAGTGTTCTTCCATTTGCGCTTCCGATTTGTTTATTGTTGTTGCCAAGGTTCTAGTTGTTTTTTTGTTTGTTTGTTTTTTTGTTCCGAAAGCGTTGGGAAGGGCTCTTCCGGAAAAATCGCCCTGCTGGTTCGCGTTTCCGATTCGTGTCATGTCGCCCTGGTTTCACGGGAACTCGTCGCCATCCACCAGAGGGTCCCTTGAAACTGGAAGATCCAAGCCCATGGTGGATGGGAGGGTACCCTTTTTGGGGGGTGCTTTACAGGGAAACGAAGGAGACACTCATTGCCTGATAGATTCGAGTGATACGGTTGGATGGCGGCACGTTGATACAACCAACTGCACATGAAAATTCGGGTTTGCTCCTAATTCCGGCAGAATTCGGATCCTATGGTACACACTCAGACTCAATCACCTATATCTCTTCTCCTGTTCGGACACTGGCAGGTGACAGGCGGGTATGTAGGGGTCGTTTGCGGACCTCGCTAAATCCGAATCAATGGCTTGGGGACTATCCTGCTACATCGAGTGCCAGATGGCTCAACCAAAATGACCGGGAGCAAGAGGGTCCTGTCTCGGGTGTGGTGTTCGGGGCCTATTGTTTGGAGAGTAGACGGATTTACAGTGACGGATGCGCGCTGCAATTCCTTCACACATCATCTAATTTGGTGCTGGCGCACAGCGGACCTGTTCTTGTCTCCCGCTGGAATTCGGGCTGCTGAGAAAATAATCCAATTCACAAGTTACGGAAGGCATATGCATACATACCTAGAGTCTCCATGATCCCTCAATTTTGGGTAATGGCCCCATTTTTAACGGGTCATGGAGACTCCAGGCATATATATATATATACATGTGTCCGGTTTTGGGTCTACTCCCTTTTCGGAAACGGTTTTGGCGATGTGCCAAATGAGTCGTCCATCGCCACCGCTTCTTGCGCCCAGAAGCGGCGCCGCCGGCTCTGGGCCCCCCGGGCCCGCTGCCGACCTCTCCGAACTCCAGCTTCGCCTTGATGCCAAGAAGGCCGCGAAAACGGCCACGTCTTTAGGTCTCCAAAATAGGGGGCGGGCGGGGAATGGCGGGGGCGGGGGGGGGGGATGGGGGGGGAAGGGGGTTCCCTTAAAGACACGAAAAAACGGGTGTCCAAATCAAAAGGATTGAGGGTAGTCCCACAATGGATTTCGGTGTTGTCTTCCGGTTTCCCTTTAGAACCACGAAACAAAGGTGCCCCCCAAAAAGAATGCGGGTGCCCCTTTGTTGTGGTTTGCAAGAGAATCCAAAAAAGGAAGCCCCCAATTGTGTGGGTACCCTTAAAAAGACACCCATGTGTGGGAGCGTAATGCAAGCTGCCCCTTCCTTTGTTTCTTTGAAGCTGTTTGTTGCTTGTGTTTTTCGTGTTTGGGTCTTGTTGGGTATAAGGTGCCCTTTTTGGAAAGGCAAAAAAAGGGCGCCATCCATTTTGCGGGTTTCAGAACCTTTTGATGCCAAGAAGGCCATCATGCCGGCGCCGTAGCCATCTTGAACATCGGTGTCGAAGTGTTTGGTTGAAAGTACATATGGTTTCCCACTGGTTTCCTATAATGGGGTTCCAAAAATTTGCCCAACAGCACGGGCGCTTAAAGGATGCATTTAAGCCCGTCGACAAGTCATCCTCACCAGCTCACTTAAAAAATCCCTTTGTAAAGAAGATGGTATTTGGGTGAGCCTGTTTTAGGGGCACCCCAAACATTGTGGCCTGAAAAAGACAAAGCCATATGAGAGTATCCCTGAAAAGGACACCTCTCGTGCCATTAAAGATTGTGAAACCTCTTGCGCTTTGCGAAGGCTTCCAAGTTCAAGCTTTGGTTCGGGTGTGTTTTGTGATGGGAGAAATCGTGTCAAAACCGCTGAATTTTACCGTGTTTGCTGATCAAAGTGGTCACAGCCCCGTGAGCGGCCCTTGTGTTTTGAAACGGACTACCCTAAAACGTGTTGACAACCAAAATTTAGGAGAACAAATTGCAGGAAAAGCACCTGCTTTTGGGGGTCAATGATTGAATAACTTGCATGTGACAAAAACTGGGCCAGTCGAGGCACAACTGAACGCTGTGGTGAATTTGAACCAGACCCCAAAAAGGAGGTTCCTCTAAGCAGGACGGTTTGGTTGCGTTCCATGTCAGTCAGTCTGCAGGAGAGTAATAGTCACGATTGGGTTACAATGGCTCCCCTTGCGAGTGGGCTCTGAATCAGAATATGATATTCTTGCAGTCGGGGCCCTGTTTTAGCTTTTAGGGTGGTTCGAACACCGTTTCAGCTGTTGAAGTTTCCTTGGCTGTTTGAAGGGGGAAATGCAAGCACCCTCCCCGCCAAACATGGACCAAGACCCTCTTGTTGGAGGCGAATTTCAGAATGGAAAGCCCATGCACTTCCATGTTTGGTAGGGTTTGAGGCAGCATATGTTTGGTTTCAAAGAGAGAAGCTGAAGACATCCAGTTGAGTTCCCGCCTTGTAGACAAACCCAGTGGGCAATATCACCAGGAATCACTTCTGGGTACGCCCCGAGGGTAGCCCATCGGAAGGTGGCGGATTCCCGCACGTTCGACGGACCTTTTGGGGTTTACAAAGGGCCTTTCCATTTTTTTCGCACAGATAGACTTCAACCCAGGAATTCCTCTTCGAACCCTAGGCTCAAGTCTACCCTGGGGTCAAAAAAGTGGAACCCTCTTTGAACCCACAGGAGGCTGGATTGGCTCGCTTGCAACCCATACCCTTTCACTCGCGTCGCTCGGTCAGGCCGCCCTCGGAGGTTGGAGCCTTGAGATATTGACGCGACTCGAGACCACACACATGAAAGCACTCACATCAAGCCACACAAAATAAATATATACGCATATATATATATATGTATATATATATATGTATATATATATATATGTATATATATATATATATGCACAAGCAAACAAACAAACAAACAAACAAACAAACAAGCAAACAAACAAGCAAACAACCAAGCAAACAAACAAATAAACAAACAAGCAAGCAAGCAAACACAAATACAACCGCTAGCACTAACACCCACGCACACGCAGACGCGGACACAAACACACAAACACGCAAACATGCAAAACCCGCACATGTACATAGTACAAAGCACCCCCCCACCGAACCCATTGGCCTGCGACTGGGCTGTATCTTGGCTGGATGGAAAGAGGCTGGTGATCTGGGTCGGACTTGGGTAGACTGGGTCAGACGTGTCAGAGATTTGGTAGCAGAATGAAGAGGATCTTGCCGCCCGTTGAATTTGGCTTGGGGCGACAATTCTTGGACTCCTCCAGTCGATTTGCGTTGACAGGCCCAACCTGGTTTTGGATGGGGAGGCTACGTGGAGTAGAGTCATCAAAATCTGGCCAACGAAGGCCATGACCTGTTCCCAACGAGAATCGGTCTGGTGAAGTTGTGGTCGAGTGGGTTGGCGAGAAGGGTTACGCCTCTCAGCCAAGGCTGAGGCCAATTGAGACGAATTGGTTGAGCTGCCGCCCAGGTCGAAGATTGTCATGCAATTCACGATGTCGGCAAGGTCCGCACTGCCTGCATTGCTGACGTGGGGAAGGCTTTGATTCGGATGCGTTCACCATCTTAGCAAGAGGATTTTTTGCATCTGTGCAGCCCGCTTGTTTCAAGGGGGCCTACATGTCCCTTAGTGGGGTGCAACATCACTGGTTGGGCCAATTTGGGGTTGTGTTTCCCTTGGTAGGGTGATGTTTCAAGGGGCAAAAAGGGGTGGCCCGCCTGCGATCGCGATCAGGTGCTGCTGCTGCCTCCCTGGGTGTGCCCGACTGATTGAAACGTGGTAACGTTTCGGCTCGTTTCACCAGGCTCTACTGAGATGTTCCACTGGTAGTTCAGACGCTTGGCGTGTCCCATCCAAACCAACATGGGGGTGTCCCGTTTTTGTGGGTACCCTTTTTGTTTGTGTTTTTTTCAAGGAGGACCAAAAGTAAAACCACCTTCTTGTGGCTCCCCTCCAAAAAAGCGACACCCCCCACATGCGTCTTCCTGAAACTACGCCTTGGAATCTAGCGTTTACTGCAGTGACGGGCTTCAGGAGAGGAATGCTGCATCCTTTGAGGACTTTCGGATCTCTTGGTTTGGGTGTTTCGCACGTTGGATGTCTCAAAACAGGAATCAGACCCTAAACGTGTCGTTCTTTTTAAAGGGGGACGGAGTCCTTTGAGTTATTCCCGGATGGGCCGCCCGCGTGGCGCCGAAACTGCCACCGTAGGTTCCCTTAATGGGCGTGTCTGTTTTGTTTGTTTAATCAGCGCCCCAAAAAAGTTTCTCTTAGTTCACATTTAAAAACCAACCAAAAAGGGCTCCCAGTGCCCAACAAATGGAGAGAAGCACATATCCCGCGGTTTGCCCTAGCTCTTTTTTGAGCCACATCCATGTTTCCTCTCGGGGTTCAAAGTGTTCAATGAAACACCACCTTTCAGGTTCCAGTGTCCTTTTGGTATTTTGGTTGGGTCATGTTCAAGGGGGAAATATAGGGAGCCTGGCCGTTTTCTGGGGTGGATCCCCTCGTGCCCCCTTTCGAGGTTTTTAGGGAAACCAATAATGAAACCCATTTGGGGGGGGGGGGGGTCTTTTTATAGACCCCCAAAAGAATATGACGGATGTCCTGCGGGGTTCCCCGAAACAGGAAAAAGAAGAAGAAAAAAAAAGAAGAACACAGAAAGGAAAAAAGAAGAATAATAATAAAAAACGCCCGGAAAAAAGGGGGTGGGGTAGCCTCAAAAAAGGACCTCCAGTTGGGTCCAAATCCGTTCGCCAGGCGCGGCACGAGTACTGCTACCTGCGAAAGCGGCCTCAGGAGAGCAACCTGCTGCAGCAGCAGGCCGTCGACATGTCGGGTGCTGTTTTTATGTTGACTCGTCCGGTTCCTTAGTTGTTTGAGGTTTTTTTGAGGTTGTTTTTTGAGGTTTTTAGAGGGTTTTAATTTTAGGGGTGTTCAGAGGTTTTTTTTGCGGCGTTTAGTTGTTTTTTAGTGGGTTTAGTTGGTTTCGTTTGGATGTTGGGACTCAAGTCTGGATCCAGAAGACCTTTTTATTGTATACGGCGGGTTTTAGTTGTTTTAGTACCATTGCTTTAAATTGGTTTAGCTATTTGCCCTAAAAGGACACCTATGGCGATTCAGTTCCTTAGCTTATCCTTTTAGTTGGTTTAGTGGGTTTAGGGTTTCCATTTTAACCACGAGTTATTCACTTTTAGCGGATCTGAAAATGGACAGCCCAGTTTCGTTTGGTTTGGTGGAGTGTAGGAGGTGCCTTCCCATTTCTCATTTGAGTCGGACAAGGGGTTCAAATCCCCAAACCAATCCAAACCAGCTAAGGGAAAGGTGAAGGTGTTTGCATTACTGTGTCCATTCTGGGAAACGTGGCTGGTCTGGCCGAACCGTGCCAAAAGGAGCTTTTGAAAAAAAAAGAGGCTTATTCATTGGACCAATAAACACAGAAATTTAGGGAAACCTACATTTTGGTCCAATAAATAAATGGAAACCTACAAAACATTGGACCCTTTCACCGAAGCGCAACCCAGGGAAATGGGAGAGCTGCCCACTTTCGATCAGGAATCCCCTCCTATGCGACAAGGTAGAAAAGGTGATTGTGGAGCACACCATTGTGTACAAAACAGATCCATATGAAAGACATGCAAAGTAGCAGGCCGGGGTTAAATTGAGTAACTTACCCTAGAGTGCTACATCCCGGGAGTATCTAGATAACAAAACGTCAAG